TATCTGCCCTCAAAATCATGTCTCCTTCAAATATTTTTTGTATTTAAATCTCCTACCATCAAAAGCTCTAGGTTTAAAGTTCTGAGTTTAGAAGATGTGACAAGTTAGATTTAATTAAGATATATTTAGCAAGACATTTTTATACTTTCATATCACTGTGACAGGGGCTATGCAAAATCATGTGACAAAAATTACCCTAGTTCTCTGAAATGTCAAACCTGATATAATAAACATATACATATAAATAAGCATATAGAGCTGTGTCTGTATAGTTTTTATTCTCTTTTATTTGGGGGGGGGGGTTCCTTCCTGCCTCCTTCTCTCCTTTCCTTCCTTTTTTTAAAGACAAAGTCTCAATATGTAACCCTGGTTGGCCTAGAACTCTCTGTGTAGACCAGGCTGGGTTTGAATTCACAGAAATCTACCTGCCTCTGCCTTCCCAGTGCTGGGATTAAAATCATGTGCTACCACACTAGGCCATCTCAGTACTACAGCTCAGGTTAGTGGTTCAGATTGGCCTTGAACTTAAAACAGCAGGTGTGAGTTACCATGCCTGGCAAAACAGACATACTGATAAAATAAGACTGCACAACAAATATGTTCAAATACCTTAATTTAAATTGCAGCTGGATGAGTCACAGGAATGCTTGCCTTATTCTTAAATTTATAATGGCAAAATTTATACTAGAGAATTTAAATAAAGGCCACTAGTTATGTTTTCTTGTTTTTTGAGTCAAGGTCTTATGTAGTCCAGATTGGTCTTCTCTTCCCATAGCCAAGGATGACCTTGAACTCCTGATCCTCCTACCTCTACCTCTGGAGTGCAGGATCATAGGTGTGCACTACCTACCACACCTGGTTTATGTGTTGTTGTGATTAAATTCAGGGATTCTGCCTGCTAGGCAAGCACTCTACCAACCCAATTACATCCTTAGCCTAGACTTTTGTTCTAAATGAAGATCTGTGAGGGCTTCTTTCTAGATCATCTGAGCCAAATGGTTATGCCTTCACAATGCAAAAAGCAATATTCCAAATTATAAAAGCCAGTCCACTGAAACACTGAAAGAACTGCTCTAAAAATCCATTTAAATCTTCAAACTTTGTTTTTGGGTTTTTGTTTTTTTTTTTTTTCGTCTTTTTGAAACAGGGTCTCCCTGTAACCACAGCTGGCCTGAAACTCACTATGTAGACCAGGCTAACCTTGAACTCATGAGAGATCTGCCTGCCTCTGCCTCCCAAGTGCTGGAACTACAGGCATGCACCACCACACCTGGCCCATCTTTTCTGCAAACCTTAATGTGGTCATATTTGTGTCAAAATATGAGCATGGACTTCATATCCTGATTAGGCCCAGATCCAATTCTCCTAGGAAAAAAAAAAAATCCCCATTGTGTCTCAGACAAGAAAAAAAATCGCAGGTTAATTATGCTGTACAAAATTTTATCTCCAAAGGGCTTTATTTATTAAGAGTAGTTGCTGGGTGTGGTTGCACATGCCTTTAATTCCAGCACTCTGGAGGCAGAGGCAGGTAGAAATCTATGAGTTCAAGGCCAATCTGGTCTACATAGGGAGTTCCAGGTCAGCTGGGGCTTCAGGGAGACCTTTTCTCAAAAAGACAAAAGAAAAAAAATAGTAGTTGCCTAGCACCTAGACAGCTGGGAAGAATAGTGAGTGCTCAATGAAGACTTGCTGAATACATACACTGAAGGCCTACAACATGCCAGATGCTGAATTTGTAGAGCACTGTAATTTAACTCATGTGTAAGACAAGTAACTCTCTTTTCTCCATTCACATCGAGGTTCTGAGGATAAGAACTCTATCTCTTATGGTGTTCATATATTTTGGATTTCTTAAAATAATTTGGTTCATGTGGCTAATGATACGCACATAATAGATGTATGACTCATTTGAAGTCACTGGATGTTTAAATTACATTCATATGTAGCTATCCTCTTAAACCTTTCCTTTTTGGTGACATATCTTTTTGGAAGATACACTACTGCCTTTTAAAAAAGTGTTTTATTATGGGGCTGGAGAGATGGCTCAGTGGTTAAGAACACTGACTGTTCTTGCATAAGACCCAGGCTCAAATTCCAGCACCCACATGGCAGCTAACAACTATCCGTAACTCCAGTTCCAGGGGATCCAACAGCCTCTTCTGTCCTCTGTGGGCATTGCACAACATGGGTGCACTTACCTACATGCAGGCAATATATGCATACACATAAAATAAAAACAAAGTATTTTTAAAAGATTTTATTTTATGTGAGTGTATTGCTTACATGTGTATGTTAAGTATATCTGTGTTGTACAATGCGAAGAAGGGGGCACTGGATCCTCTGAAACTGGAGTTATGGACAGTTGTTAGCTGCCATGTGAGTGCTGGGAATCGAACCTGGGTCCTCTGCAAGAGCTCTTAACTGCTGAACCATCTTTCTAGCCCCAAGGAGTGGCATTTTTATATTTAAAAGTTCTACTCTAGCCAGGCATGGGGGCTTAAGCCTTTAATCCTGGTTCTCAGGAGGGAGTGGCAGGTGGATCATCAAAGCCAGCCTGGTCCACAGCTGAGGGCCAGCTGAGACTAC